CGTTTGTTTTCTTTATTTTATAAAAGCACAACGTTTTGTTGATATTGTGAGTGCACACAAATAAAACTAGCCCCTTTACAGTTTAGAATGATGTATTACTCTTACCTTTATGAGCAAAAAATGACTGTGTATTAAGTTGTTTCCACTGTTAGAAAAAAATGCAAGTGATCGCGCTGGCGCCTCCGTGTGCTGCAGAGCGCACTTCAGCTTCCACTCTCCGCACAAACGATTAGATATGCGTCTAACAGCGCACGTTTATCTAGGTTAAACACTTAAACTAACATTGTGATATGCTTGAACTGTGTACATGAAAAATGTAGAAACATTGGACACAACTATGGGGCACCATTGTGCAGCAGCAAGCATCACAACAAAAAAGGAACCTCAAGGTTGATCTAGGAAAATGTGTGAAAATGTATAGGGCCCCATTCCTATATTTTGCCTGGGGCCCCCAATTCACTAAATCTGCCCCTGAGTAGCATTCATGATCACAACTCACAGGTGCTCCAGTGGTTACGCAGATTTGAGTCATACCTACACTACAGCTTTTATTTTTGAAAACAAATTAATACTTTTATTTAGCAAAGATGCGTATGCATATAAATTGATCAAAAGTGACAGTAAAAACATTAATAACGTTACAAAAGATTTTGAAATAAATGCTGTTCTTTTGAACTTTCTATTCATCAAAGAATCCTGAAAAAGTGTCACTCTGTCCACAAAAATATTAAACAGCACAACTGTTTTCAACAGTGATAATAAGAAATGTTTCTTAAAGGTCCCCTGAAGTGCCTTGAAACACACAGCGTTATTCTATGTGGTGACGTAATTTCAACTGAAACAGGAAGACAGGGCGGGACATATCGAGCAGCCACGCCCCCTTTTTAAATTAGCCAATAGCGTTTTGTTTATATCTGCACGGGTCAGAGCCGTTGAGCTCGGTAAAGCCGCATACTCTATGTGTTGACGTCATTTTAACTGAAACAGGAAGACAGGGCGGGACATATCAAGCAGCCCCGCCCCCTTTTTAAATTAGCCAATAGCGTTATGTTTATATCTGCACGGGTCAGAGCCGTTGAGCTCGGTAAAGCCGCATTTGACAGCCACACTCTAATAGATTCAATATGAAACTCTTAGTAAAACAAAATAGTGATCATAATCATGCTGAGGCTGCATAGTTTTAAAAGTGTTTAATATATGCCGACTCGCGCATATGATCGCTCCATGCGATTGCATCTCTGGACCGGAGCCAAAGTCCAGATCAGGCTGTGTGCGCGGCCGCACGTGCCATTCACTGTACAGGAAATACTACACTGTGAACAAGCGACCGATCTCAGCCAGCCACAGCTTCAGGGTCTATTAATAGTGCAGGGGGCAGGCGCTTTGGCTTCTAGAGAGCATTTGATTGGTCAGAAGATTTGGTAATGATGCTGAAAATTCAGCTTCGCATCACAGGAATAAATTGCATTTTAAAATATATTTAAATGCAAAACAGTTATTTTAAATTGTAACTGTAAATAACTGTTAAATTGTAATTTGTAAACAGAATTTCTCAATAATCAGCCTTGCAGCCTTGGTGAGACCCCAAACTTTTGAATGGTAGTGTACATCATTTTCCACATACTTCTCTTCTGTCAAGGCATATAATGGCCTACAAAGCCCATAAATAATAGAAAATGAAACAACTCCACTAGTGCCTCTTATTAATCCAGTCGACTTCCTGTAACTTTCAAATGAAATTATTGTTTATGAAACTCTTCTGAACTGTTACTGTATAACCAATTTAAATTTAACAGCCGAGCCTCTAAGCCTCTTGAGAAACTATTTCAAAACAATTTCAGGGCGCAATTCAAAATCAAAATATTTGGTTAAAATGTAAGCATCAGCCCAAAGGTTATGCAGAAAATTACTCGGATGTTTGATAGACAATTAAATATTCATTATGATAAACATTTCCTTATAAATAACTCAAAGTACAAGAATAGATTGCAATGATTAAACATCATCAAATTAATCTCAGGAAATATCTGCTATATTTTAATAGTAATGTGACAAGGTGCTACATCACTATTTTTAGTGTCACATTGTATTGTGCGTGCAGCTTTACAGTTGAGTGAGATGACACAATAATTAAACACATTCTCCTGTTTTTCATATGCAGTGATGGAAAGTCTGATTCATTCTGTTGAATCACTTTGTTTGAATGGTATAAAAAAAAAAATTCTTTGTCCTTTGCGCATGTGCCTCACAGTTCTGGTTTGCTTTCGGCAGAAGATGACATTTCGCTGTCCTGCAATTAGATACAGTGAAATGTTTTCTACTTGTTGATAGTTAATAGCAGTGCTTTAATTACAGCAGTACAATTCATTCAGATGAACTGACCTTCAACTGTTTGTTTTTTAGCTTTGGTTTCCATGGTGCAAAGTATCTCTTAGTGGTGATACAGTGTTGTTGAACTTTTATAGCTGAGTGCGTGTTAGCAGCAAGCGCACAATATTTGCTGAAAGTGATTTGGTTGGAGCTGTTCCCCACAGAGAGATTATTGTCCCATCAGCAGGAAGTTTAGGACCGCCTGCTGCCCCGTTAGGTGAAGTGCACTGAGATAAACTGACAAAAACTGATGACAAAAAGTCTACAGGAGGAGTTTAGCAGCCCTGAACGAGAGACTTGCTGTCACTGACATCCCTCCTAAAATCTGTCTGTCACTCTCTCGACAGACACTCAAAAAATATTTAGGCCTAAATTTATGATTTATATAATTGAATTGCGTACAAAATTTACATCCATTTACATCCATTTTAACATAAACCTAATGTGATGTCACACTTTATATTTGTCAGTCATACATAAATAAAACGGGTAAGATTTCTGCGCTCAATAATGGCACAGTTTATCATCAGCAATTTTCATCTATTTAATTTTATTTAAATAAATAACATTTATTTAAATTTTTAACATAAACCTAATGTGATGTCACACTTTATATTTGTCAGTCATACATAAATAAAATGGGTAAGATTTCTGCACTCAATAATGGCACAGTTTATCATCAGCAATTTTCATCTATTTAATTTTATTTAAATCATTTTTTCCTTCAAAGTGCATTCATTCAGATTGCTTAGAATCAGCATAAATCTGTTCATTGTGAAAGCAATTTAATTAATTCAGTTAAAAAGTATGAACATATACATACCCAAAATGTATGACCCTGAAACGAACTGGATTTATTGATGATGAATATATAAAGCTGTTTTTTGTGTATTTAAAACACATTCAGTTCATTATTACAGAAATCTTACCTGTTTGATTTATGTATGACTGATAAATATACATCACATTAAATTTGTTAGTTTATAATAAAACTGCGTAATCCAAATGGATGGAAATTTTATATGCCATTCAAATACACAAATCTTACATTTAGGAGTGTATGCTTCACCACTTCCATCTTCATCATGGTGGTCTTTGCTGACTTTCTTCTTTACTTCTGTCCTTCTCTCTCCTCAGGTGTCCTTTTTCTGCAGTTTGGAGATGAGACCAGACGTGTTCATATCACTCACGAGCTCAACAGTTTGGAGACCTTGCACGCACTCATCGTGCATATGTTCCCTCAGAAGCTGACAGCGGGAATGCTGAAGTCCCCAAACACGGCCATCTTGATCAAAGACGAAGCGAGGAACGTTTTCTACGAGCTGGAGGACGTGAGGGACATACAGGACCGCAGTATCATTAAAATCTATCGCAAAGAGCCCATCTATGCCTCCTATCCTGCGGCACATCTGGCCAACGGAGACCTCAGGGTGAGAGATTCCAACTGCATTCAATGATTCAGTTGTTTGCCATCTTACATTGTCTCAGCATGGGCTGATAGGTAAAAGAAGGCACCAAGCGTGATCCATATTTAAAGAATGTTTTCTTTTCCAAGTCAAAATAAGAAATCACAAGGTTAAGGATGTAGATCCCAGTATGTGGTAAGATGAAAGGCAGCCCTAACCTTCAAATCGACGTCACAGTCCTTTTTGTGTGTTAAATATTTTAAAGGGATGTACCCGTTGTTTGATCCATTGAGCGACGTCTTTCAGATTGGGATATTCTTGAACTCAGAGGTTTTTGAATTATGCACAGTTTTTGGTGTATCACTTGGGAGTTGGTTTTACTTTGTGAGCTTGCTGTGCTACCACCGGAGTTTGATGTGGGTTGACTTTGAAATGCGATCATGTTGCGTCACTCTGTTGATCAAATGTTCGTTTTTTCTTCTCTGGTGTGAGACGTCTCTCTGCTATTAGACACGAGTCTCTCAGCTAACATTAGTCATGAGTCTGTTAATGTATGCTAGTGTTTCTATTTATTGTCTGTTTGTGTGGGGTGTATGTGTGTACATTGATGTCTGTGTGTGTGTGTGTGTGTGTGTGTGTGTGTGTGTTTTTTTTTTTTTTTAGAATGTTGTCAGGGTTGGGAAAGTAGAATGGGACCTAAATAAGTGTAATTAATTACTGACTGGTTGCTTGTATGATAATGAGATGCAGTCTATCCTATTTTCAGGACCAGTAATTATTTACACACTAAAAGAGTCACTTAATTCAGGGGATTTCAAACTTTATGATGCCAAGCACTAGGATAAAATATGATGACTTCCAGTGCAGGACTGTTTGATAAAATATAAAGGTGGTGATATTTATGTATTATTTATTTATTTATAAAGACCCCTTCTGTGTGATAAAATACTAGGTGTGGTATTACAAAGACAACATGTTTCTAAAATTAAATGTTTTTTTATTTTCAATTAATTTATTTTTTTTTATTTTTGAAAATTAAATAATTTAAATATTATCTGGAAAATATTTACTTTAAATTGAGTATTTTTTCTACCCACTATTAGAGTAATGTCAAACATATCTGTCCATAGGATTAGATAATTCTGATTCCTTGTTTTTATGATTTATGATGAGTGATTGTGCTGGGTATTTTTTTCAGGTTTCATGTAAAAATAATGAATACTGTATACAAATTCTGCACTCTAAAATTAAACTTTAGGGTTTTTTTAGGTTAATTGCATTAGATAATTCTGATTCCTTGTTTTTATGATTTATGATGAGTGATTGTGCTGGGTATTTTTTTCAGGTTTCATTTAAAAATAATGAATACTGTATACAAATTCTGCACTCTAAAATTAAACTTTAGGGTTTTTTTAGGTTAATTGATGATTTTAAATAAAATAAAAGTGGTTCCAAAGTGGCAGCCTGCAGTGACAAGCTTATTGCACCTTTTGACCACATTGAATTTATTCAAATTACCACTTGAGTTGAAACTCTACAGCCCTTCGCTGTGTGTGTGTGTGTGTGTGTGTGTGTGTGTGTGTGAAAGAGAAAGTGAATATATAAAGCCAATTTCACTGTTATCAGCAGAAGTCTGGACAGAACATGTCAACTGCTCCCTGGAGTGTGTACTTGCATTCACGTCAGTGTGTCCGTGTACGCAGGCTAACAAGCTATATCCCTGTAATGCTTCAGTAAGTTCGACTACTCTCAGAGTAGGGAACAAAAATAGACGAAGAGGGGAAAAGAACCAAAAAATATAAAGAAAAGATGGATAAGTGCCTTAAGATAAAACAAAACAAGCTGTGGAATAAATGCAAGTTAAGTGACAAGCAGATATAAAATGTATAAAATGATATGCAGGATGTAGCAAGGAGAGGTGAGAATGAAGAGAATGAAAGATACTGAGACGCAACAGGGCAGAAAAAAGGATCTGTTAGATGAGTGTGGGTTTCCTGGTGTTTGTGAATGGAGAGTTTTAAAGCTCTTCCTTCTGCTCATTGTAGCTTAGTAAAGTATATGTGCTCACTCAGAAGCGGTGGTGAAATATGAATACATTGTCATGTAATCCAATGTTATGCCAGTAGCTTTAGCTAGGCTGGGTGAAAGGAGTGAATAGGGTGAATGGAGCCTCCCCGGAGTTGAATTACAGACTGATGAAAAGAAAGAATGGGGGCAATGAGTCTAGATCTCCGCTCTTGGTTTCGTGCTAAACCTCAGAGGATCGCTCTTGCTTTGAGATATTTGATTTGTCATCAACACATTTTCAAGTTTGAATGATTTTTGGCAAATATCCACTTCTCCTTAACACTCCTAACTATGAATGTAACTGAATTATTCAGTTGAACTGGTGGCTTTTCAGTTTTTTTTTAGTTTTTTTATTATTTTTTTTATTTTACAGTAGATTTATGTAGGATTTTAAACATTCTATCAGACAAATAACATTATATTGTTCCGTCTGAATGTAAATGAATAAAAAATTAATGTTGAATTATTCTACTTTTAAGAATAAAAAACAAACACTTTTAGAAAAATTTAGATTCATTGTTGTTTTTGTGATAAAGAAGGATATGTGATGCTTGACAAATCTTGTCAAGCAAGAAAAACTAAAAATTCTAAATGTTAAATGAGAGTAGAACTTGCCCATTTATGAACTTGGCTCCTCTGAAAACACAGACAATGTCACTTCCTCTTCATTATGTCATTTAAAATGACAGTTCACTATTATTTTGAGGTAAATACTGTAAGTGTTGTGATGGAAATCAAATTGATTTATAATTGTATTAATTTACATTTACATTTAGTCATTTAGCAGATGCTTTTATCCAAAGCGACTTACAAATGAGGACAATAAAAGCAGTCAAAACTAACAAAAGAGCAACAATATATAAGTGCAAATGACAAGTCTCGGTTAGCCTAACGCAGTACACCTAGCAAGGTGTATATATATATATATATATATATATATATTATACACACACACACACATATACACACACACACACACACA